AAAGCCCAAGTCCGTCTATCCTTTGCTGAGGCCCAGACGCAGCAAACGCCAGCCCACCGAACCAACGTCCGACTACAGCGCTCCCTCACGCTCACGCTCCCGCTGCTGCTGCTGCGCTCTCAGTTTTTAGTACCACCTCGCCTAGCGAGGAGCGTCGGGCGGCAGAGCTCCCTATATAACCAGCGCGTGGTGCTCCGTTGCTCCATACTTACCTGGACGGGGTCGACGAGCGATCAAGAAGGCTCGTGGCCTAGGTCAGTGGCCCACATTGCACCTGGTGGGCGCGCTGGCCTATCATCTCCCCAAGTGGGAGAGTGAACGTCATAATTTGTGGTAGAGGGGGTACGCGTTCGCGCGGCCCCTGCCAATCCTTCAAAATTAAATCTTGGTCCCTGTTCTGCTCTCCAACAGATCAAATCGTCGTTGTTAAATTTTCATTCTGGTCCCTGGCCTGTCCACCGATGCGCTCAATTTGTAACCTGGGCCATTTTACATATTTCGTCGTATCCCTTTATTTATTTAAATTAAATCAGAATTAAGAAAAATGTCAACATATGATGTAAAAGCTGGCATTCTTTTTGTATTATAATATATGCGTCAGGCTCAACGTGCCACTAAGCCTAGAAGCACGGCCATGGCGACGAGTGTCTGCCTCCCCCGGCCACTAGCAACCGGCGCGCGCGCCTCCATCTCTCTCCCCGCCCGCCCCCGCCGCCTACCTCGCCCACAGCGCAGGCCCCACCGTCTCGGCGGCGCCGCCGCGGGGATGGACGCCCTCCGCGTGTCCCCGCGGGACGCGGAGCCGCTCCTCCGCCCCGTGTCGGCCGCCGCCGCCGCCACTGCGCACCGTCGGCTCCGCGTACGGCGCACGACCCCAGTCCTCGCCGCCCCAAATATAGCGAATCCCCGTGCCTTCTATTCCGGGGCGAAATTTGGGCGCGGCGGTCTTTTGACGATATGGGCGGTGATGTGCAGGTGCGGACGCACGCGCAGGGCGCCGACGAGTCGGCGAAGGACGCCGGCGGCGGCGCGGCGTCCGGGGCGGACGGCTACTCGCTGGCGGCCGTCATCCTCCCGTGAGCTTATGTCCCTCGCCCCCCATCCTTTAGTGGCATTTGGGGATAAATGCATTTCTATATAGCTCTAATCAAACGTTCCAGATCGCGCGCCATTTGGGGGAAGAATCGAGCCTACTGCTTCTGTGCATCATGGATACATTGCTTAGTAGTTTTGCTTTGTCCGCCGTGTTGAATTAGGGCTGCAGCTTAACATGGAATTGGCAACTATGTAGTGCATCGTAAGAAATGTGCAACCTGATTTAACATTATCTTATGCTATCTTATGCTGCCTAGATACTAGACTGTCAGGAATTTTGTTCATGCCAAACCGTGATCCTTGTGCAGTTGCGTTTAAAGTGGTCATACAGATGCGTCGTATAGTTAAGGATATGTTAGATTTGCATACCGGTTCGACTACAGACAATTGTTGCATCTGGGTTTGGTCCAGTGTTACTTGTCGTTGCAATTCTGTTTGGTTTATCAACTGGAAGATACAATATATATAGGGTCGGCACGAAAGTATGTCGAGCTTTTTCAGTACTAACGAGCCAATGTTTGGAACCTAGGTTCGTGTTCCCTGCATTGGGTGGCCTCCTTTTCGGTTATGACATCGGCGCAACTTCTGGAGCGACCATATCTGTGCACGTGAGTCCCAATTTGATTGTTCCACTATTTCCTATAGTTGATGTTCGCCCTCACATGGTTTCTTCCTCATTCTTCAGTCTGCTGAGCTCAGTGGCACCACCTGGTTCAACCTCTCTTCTCTGCAGCTAGGGCTTGTGGTAAGCCTTTTGGGAGATCCCTGTGTTTTATAAGCTTATGCCCCACATTCCTAATCATTAATCAAGAACATTGTTTTTACCATGTAGTCAGGAAAACTGTTGTGCTTTAATGAGCTTTATTGTCATGTTATTTAGGCCAGTGGTTCACTTTATGGTGCTCTTGGTGGGTCCATTCTTGCATACCGCATTGCAGATTTTCTAGGTGATTTGAAACGACAGTGTGCTTCAGTATTCCTTATTATGTATTCTTTGAAGATGAAGCGAAATAACTGTTACTACCCATCTTGTTGCAGGAAGAAGAATAGAGTTGATGACAGCAGCTGCATTATATATTTCTGGTGCTTTGACCACTGGATTAGCTCCTAATTTTGTAGTCCTGATCATAGGTCGTCTCCTTTATGGCGTTGGCATTGGTTTGGTGAGTAGCTGCAAGCACAAGTATTTCTATCAAACACCCTTTTTACCACCCCAAAACTCCCCAAAAGGGGAAACTGGGAGGAACACGAGTCAAAGGAACATATTTATGATCAACTAAAGGCTTGAATGGATAGAAGTGTCTGTTTGTGTTCTCTAACTTTCAGTCATGCCACTGAACTACCATGATGCTCTGTTCCAGGCAATGCATGGTGCTCCCCTTTATATTGCAGAGACTTGTCCTTCACAAATACGTGGAACATTGATATCTTTTAAGGAGCTGTTTATTGTAGGAGGAATACTGGTAACTATCTTGTCATATAGTATTTGCCTAAACACACTATATTCTCATACAATAAAATGCATGATCTGATGCCGGCTGACCATTTATTATTTTAACAATTTACAGTTTGGATACCTCGTAGGGAGCTACGAAATCGATGTTGTAGGAGGATGGCGGTACATGTTTGGTTTTAGTGCTCCACTGGCTGCTATAATGGCTGTTGGTATGTGGAGTCTACCACCTTCACCTAGATGGCTACTTCTCAGGGCAGTGCAGGGAAAAGGCCCTACGGAAGACAACAAAAAGAAGGCAATGAATGCCCTGAGAAGACTGAAGGGTCCTTCAGCAAGTGACAAGGTTTTGACAGATGAGATTGAAAATAATCTTTCCTCAATTAAGGCTGCTTACGCAGATCAAGCTGAAGGAAGCATTTTTCAAGTATTCGAGGGACCAAGCTTGAAGGCCTTCACTATTGGAGGAGGGCTGGTTCTCTTCCAGCAGGTTTTTATCCTCTTCAGTCCCACTAATACGCAGCTTAACTGAATTTAAAATCTTACCACCCTTTCCACCATCCTTTTAGATTTGAAATTCTCTGCCCGGTTAAGTTAAAATTCAAATGTCCTTTGCATGTACTCCCTCTGTAAAGAAATATAAGAGCGTCTAGATCACTACTGTAGTGATCTAAATGCTCTTATATTTCTTTACGGAGGGAGTACTTTCTATTCTAAACTATTTATATTATATAGTATTATTTTTGGCTTGGGAAGTTGAATCCATATTGGAAAATTTCCAGCATTATTTATTGACTCATTTCATCCTAATTTGGACCATTTTTTAGTAGTTTTCAAGTCAGCTAAAGTGCTAAGCTTTTTTATTTGTCAGATAACAGGCCAGCCAAGTGTTCTATACTATGCAACCTCCATTCTGCAGGTACCTCAGTTTTGCTTCGAGCTGTTCAATTGGTTCGTTTGATTTAGAAATTAGAACAGATGGAAGTCAATACATCTTTTCATATTGCTGCATAGAATATAATTTGTTTATGTCCGTCTTCTGTAGACTGCTGGGTTTACAACTGCATCTGATGCTGCAAAAGTGTCAATTCTGATTGGTCTGTTCAAGGTAATACCACGGAGCTAGATCACTACTGTACTCTGCTGGGCATAAAGTGTAATAGTTGAATCTTTTTGCAGTTTGTGATGACAGGTGTCGCGGTGCTTAAAGTCGATGATCTTGGAAGACGGCCGTTAATGATAGGAGGTGTTAGTGGAATTGTGAGTAACTTTACCCTTTCCTACAACTTATTTAAGTTATATGTTTGCTACCGAAAGTGTGACCCTCATTCCTCGCCACCTATTTGAATTGATAGTCGTACCAGGCAACTAGGCATATATGCTAATTATATAAGCGATAGTATTATAAAGGGAAATCTCTAATTATGATTAGAGGCTTAAAAAACCTTTGCAACTTCAGTAATTTTCATCAGGCATCTAAACAAAAGAGTAATCCTTTTGTTTTCTTCTTCAACCTGGAAATGCAGACCGTTGCACTCTTCCTGCTAGCAGCTTACTACAAGGTTCTCAGTGGCTTCCCTTATGTTGCTGTCGGTGCTTTACTTCTTTATGTTGGATGTTACCAGGTTGGTGCTTTACTTGTGTATATGGGGTATTTATAATGAGTACCGAGTGGTACGAGAAATTAACATGCCTTGTGTTTCAGCTTTCATTTGGTCCGATAAGCTGGCTAATGGTCTCTGAGATCTTCCCACTCCGAACAAGGGGACGGGGAATCAGCCTCGCAGTACTCACAAATTTTGGATCAAATGCGCTAGTGACACTCGCATTCCCGCCCTTGCAGGTAACGGTACTAGAATTGTTATCTCCTTGTTTACGTATGCCTTGAAGTTCCAGCCTATTCGCCTGGACAACACGTCAGAACAACCGTTTGGCAGATGTATGAACAAACTGAACAGTGGCGCCAACCAATTTAACCGTATTGCTTTCTTCATGTTTACAGGGGTACCTCGGACCGGCCAACGTCTTCCTTCTTTTCGCAGCCATATCGCTGCTCGCCCTCCTGTTTGTCATCCTCAACGTCCCAGAGACCAAAGGGCTGAGCCTGGAGGAAATTGAATCCATCCTGAAGAAGTGAATGGAAATGCCTGCTGATATTCATCCTCTAGCCTCTTCCCTGTCCGCTCCGCGGATCGGATCGGAGCACGCCACGACACCGTTAGCGCGCCTCCCTGTAAAGCTCTTCCTGCCGATTTTGCCTGTGTAGTTGATATAGCTGTACATGCATCGATCTGTAGTTGTACTGACACTCATGACCACTTTCACGACCTCTTTTCTGAATCAGCTGTCATTTTCTGTTGCTGCCTGTAATTCTGATGTTACTGTCAACAGTGTATGTATGTGTCTATGGGAAACCGCAGTTGCAAACTAGCTCCAACATTGAAGAGAACTGTCAGCTGAAGAGGAGCTGCCGTTTCTCGTCAGGGGAGTTCGACGCCGACGTCGGCATCGTGGCGGTGGTGAACCCTGACGTCGACGGGAACGACACTCCGACGAACCCGTCGAACGCCTCGCTGTGCTCGAACAGGGTCATGCTGTTTCCAAGATCCTCCGGCGACGTCTCTGGCGCCGGTGCCGCGCCTTCCAGCATCTGCACCACCTGCCTCGTGCTCGGCCGCCGCAACGGGTCGGGGTGCGAGCAGAGCAGCCCGAGCTTGAGGACCAGCTCCAGATCGTCCTCGTCGCACTTGCCCATCCTCGGGTCCCTCGCCTCCGTGATCTTCCCGGCCTTCCAGTGCTCCAGGACGAGCTCCACGAGTCCCGGCGACGGCGGCGAGTCTTGGGAATCGTTGTTGCTGAACACCACGGGCCTCCGGCCGCACGCCACCTCGAGCAGGAAGGCTCCGAAGGCGAAGACGTCGGAGCTCGTGGTGGCCTTGCCGGTCTTGCTCATCTCCGGCGCGATGTACCCGAGCGTGCCCACCACGCGCGTCGTCTGCGGGTCGCCGCCGTGGTCGTAGAGCCGCGCGAGGCCGAAGTCGCTGAGCCTGCCGTTCATGTCGGCGTCCAGGAGCACGTTGCCGGACTTGATGTCCCGGTGCACCACCACCTGCTCCCACCCCTCGTGCAGGTACAGCAGCCCGGCCGCCACGTCCCGCACGATCTTGGCGCGCTGCTCCCAGCTCAGCTCCGACGATGGATGGCCGAACAGGTGTTGGTCCAGGCTGCCGTTCGGCATGTACTCGTAGACGAGCAACAGCTCGCCGCGCCGCCGGCAGTAGTGGAGGAGCTGCACCAGGTTGCGGTGGCGCAGCCGGCTCATGCTCACGATCTCCGACACGAACTCCTGCAGCCCCTGCCGCGATCCGTGCGAGACCACCTTGACGGCGACCTCGGCGCCGGACCTCGGGAGCACGCCGTGGTACACGCGGCCGAAGCCTCCGGCGCCGATGAGGTCGCGGAAGCCATTGGTGGCGCCGTGCAGGTCCTTATAGCTGATCCTGTGAGGGCCGTACTCTACCTCCCAGTCTTCTTCCTCCTCGGCGAACTGCCGACGCCGCCGCACCACGAGCGCCGCGACGGCCGCGGAGGCCAGGAGCAGGATCACGACCACCAGGACGAGCAGCGTCATGGGGAGTAGCAGCGGCGGCATCGTTCTCTTGGATGATGGCGATGATCCCGACGACGGGAGCCGTGGGAGCTTGGAGAGGTCGAGGTTCTGCGCGCGGCCGCCGCCGAGGCGAAAGCTCCAGCCGAGGACGTAGTGCGAGCTCGCAGCGGCGCCGTTGGCCGCCGAGAAGCCGACATAGGTACCGTCGCCCACGGCCCTCGAGATGTTGACGTTGCATGACACGAGCGGAACGGCCGGTCTGGGCGCGCCCGCCGGCGACACCGTCACCTCAAGGCGCGCGTTGGCTCCGTCATACTCGATCCACACCTGCAGAGGCGCGTCGCCACCGCCAGTCAGGCTGATGTTGTCGAACTTCGTTCCACCGAATCCGTCGTCGTGCCAGTACCCGGCCGGGGTCGAGTTAACAGAGCGGAGGCCGTTGACGTCGATGCCGACGTGGTTTTCGTCGGCGTCGTCAAACTCCGCGTCCATGGCGGTATCCAGCTCGACGGCAACGATCAGGCTAGTGCCATTCCCGAGGCTGTCCGACGTGTTGAAGAGGCCGAGGTACTTGCCGGCGACGGCGCCGGGGACGGCGACGGACGGCGCGAGCGCGAAGGCGATGCCGTGGCCGTGCGCGTCCGGGTACCGCGGCGCGATGGCGACCACGAAGGTGGTGGAGAAGGAGACAGGCGCGCCGGTGGCGGCGTCCCGGAAGCGGAGGGGCGCCGGGTGGAAGCCGTGGCCGAACGCCTCCTTGGTGTCGTTGGTGAGCCGCAGGAGGCCGGAGGGGGCGAGCACGGAGGCCGCGCCGGTGGTCGCCACGCTGCCGACGGCGAAGCCGGCGTACAGGAACTCGTCGGCGCCGGCGGCGTTCCGAGCATGGAGGATGAGGAGGAGCGAGGTTAACGCGGCCAGCGCGATCGGCATGGCGACGACCGGCGCGAGCAATGGGAGCGATCGAGCGTGCGCGCTCCGTCGAGATGGGGTAGGGTGGGGAAGTAGTCGTCGGCGGAAGTGGACGGCATTGGAGGGGAGCACGAGGTCAAGGGTGCCTCCGCCGAGCTGACAAGGACGGGGAAGATGGAGATGGAGGCCCGCCGGAGGTGTTGGGAACGAAAGAACCAACGATCGAATTTTTTAAGTGAACGAAGTGTAGAGTAGAGAAACGTTGAAATCAATCCAAGAGGTTGTGTCAAAATACACCTTGTAACTAACAAGAGTTACTCCTATATACTCCCTCCGCTTCCATATTGTAGTGCATATAGATTAAAAAAAAACTTTGTAAACTTTGACCAAGTTTGTATAGAAAATTATTTATATCTAAAATACCAAATATAATAAATATGAAACTATATCTTATGATGAAACAAGTGATATATATTTGACATTCCAGATGTAAATATTTTTCTATACAAACTTGGTCAGAATTTGTGATGTTGGACTTTTTCAAAAAAATTATATACACTACATTATTGAACGGAGAGAGAGAGTATTTTTCCCCATTCGATTCAAATTGGATTGGGTTCCTCCATAAAATTAAATCTCCCGCAAAATAGCCGTGATAGCTGCACTATAGTGCTTGGGAGCCTCGCCGCTACGCTATGTCTGCTGTCACGAAATCCTCCACAAGTCCCTCTAAACAACTCCAAAAATCAGTAAAAACCTCTAGAAATCATCTCCACCACCTGAAAAGTTGCTGCAATTGCCCGCTACGACGGCCGCTATAGATGTCAAGAGAGGCTGCCGCGAATTATTTCTCCCATGATTTTAATCTTTGTGTTCACTATCAGAAGATAACATGCAAAATGAAAAAAAAAATCTAAAAAGAAAAGTTTAAAAAATGTTGAAAGACAACACCTAGCAAGTTGCCGCATGTTGATCATGTGGGTCAAACGACCAACTTACAAAAATTAGTTAGTATTACTATCCTCAAATTTCCTATGACTAGGTATTGCCCGTGCGTTTCTATGGGGTATAAATATTCTAGTATATTAGCCCATAATTCCATATTATATGATTGTGTAAATAAAAATTCACCAAATTTTGTCATGATTTAATTTTGTAATCACTTATTGACTTGCCAAAGAAAATATAGTTTATTTGGTAAGTTAATAAAAGATGAGACTATTGAATCGGTTTTCAAGGAATGTTCGTCAGGAAAAATATGAAATGTTGGACGAAGCACTCTCTGCCTGGCAGGAAAATGAACATTATTCTTTTTTTTAATTTATAAATAATAGGACAATATCCGAGCGTTGTAACGAGATATAAATTCTAGTATGTTAGCTTGTGATTTACCTGCCCATATTAATACGATTGCGTGAATAAATGTTTATCAAATCCTCCCCGTGATTTGACTTATGTTTTGATGAGAAGTTTGGTAAGTAAATTAACATGGAATCAGTTCACAAGTTATGTAAATTAAGGTGATTGATTATCATACGGGAAATGTTGGACGAAGTGGTGTTGGGAAGAAAGGTGAAACGAGAACCTTGCGTTCTTTTTAAGTAGTCTATAGAGATTTTTAATTTAATAGGACAATGCGTGTGTGTTGAAACATGATATAAATATTCTAGTACGTTATCGTGATTTATTTATCCAAATAAATGTGATTGTGTAAATAAATATTATCAAATCTTGCTCGTGATTTCACCTCTAGGATAAAAAAGAACGTAAAAACACTGGTGCATATAGAAGACAAGTAGAAACACTGGTACCATCCCTACATGAACTATGGTTTTAACAACGCCTCGTTTCTGGCCATGACATATTGTATGATTCTGTAGAAAATAATCTTCTCTTTTGTTTTTTTCTATAGGGTAGTGTCATTATTATTGGGGAAGAAGTTCTTACTAGGTACTCCCTCCGTCCGAAAATACTTGTCATCAAAGAAAGGGATGTATCTAGAACTAAAATACGTCTAGATACATCTCCTTTTATCCATTTGATGACAAGTATTTCCGAACGGAGGGAGTACATGATAACATGAACCTTTTAGATATTACATGAAAAAAAATTGAACACCCAATTTTCAAATCCTAGATCCGCCATTGGCCACAAGTGTGGACTTTGTAGGCATAAAGCAAGGGTGCACAGTATTTTTGGCAAAATGTGCATTCTTGGTTTCACGAGCAAAAGCACTTTGCGCACTATAACTTGCACACAATCCATGAGCGCAATGTGAAGTCGTTGGCCCATCTATAGTACACCATCTCAAACTCCGCATGAAGAATTGCAGTGCGATCGCATGGGTGGAAAGAGGATGGCCACCGGCGAATCAATCATGAAGATCATAATTTTCTCTCTTGTTGCTCTACATGTTGGTCAATTTATTGATTCACTCAACGGAGTGTAGGCCATTCATGTTGATGATCACCTAATTGTATAGCCCGGATGCACGGTTGCGCTGTATCAAACAACAAAGGCAGCACATTCTTGTTGATGTCTTGTTGGATGAAGCTCAAGGGGCAAGAGTGTGCGGATGAACAACACTTCGTGCCCTGCAACTTGTTAAACATCCCATTATTTTGAATGTAGTACTTATATATGTGAAGTATTGTTGCACAGAATGTTTGCATGCCGTTTATGACCGAATTATGTTTTTTTCTATAATTTTTTTGAGTGCTCTGGACATAAGGGGAAATTAAGGGGCGGACATTTGGTGCACAGAGTTGGATGGCCGACTCCTGTATCCGTGTTCTGGCGCGTCCATGAACGTTTAGTGTGTCAAATTTAAAATACGCTGTTGGAGATGCCCTTATTGCAAGCTCTAGGGCAAAAGGAAATACTCCTATTAAAAGATGCAAAAGTCAACCAACTATGAATCCGTGACACGACGCTATGCGGGGTGCAGCGGCGTTATGGTGGATCTCCTTCCCGCTGCAGCCTCTCTCTCTCTCTCTCTCTCGCTACACTTGGTGGCTTGTGGTCTCGGTCCTCGGTGCGTTGCTGGGGCTGGTAGAGGTGGATTCGGACCGGAGAAAACTCTGGATGACTTGCTCATCCCGATGGTGGCGACGACCAAGTTTGCCGCTCTCCTCCTTGCAGGAGCCGTCGAGGTCCCTCCCCTACACCCTGACCCCAGGCCTGGGTGAAGAACCAGAATCTCCTCAGATTGGGCGGCGGCGGCACTACATGTGTCGTGACCTTCTTGGAGGCGCCGTCTGGGGAGTTCGGGTGCTCGGTTAGAGGAACTACAAGCGAAGGGGATGAGACCAGTGGCAGCAGGAGGTGTTCGCGAAGGAGGAGCGGCGTGACATCTGGCACGTCGACAACGTCGAGTCTCGTTGTCATGGAGTAGCGGGTCTTGGTGGTGGATGCGTGTTGATAGACGAGCGCAGGATGGTGGCGCTATTTGGCGTCGTGGTGGTGTCGACATCAGTTGAGCCTATCAAGGTCGATGTGTCGGTACTTGCTCTGAAGATGGACCGGTGGAAGACAGTGGCGGCGGTCTCTGCAGCGTGCGCGTGTGGTGACCACTGAAAGTGCGCTGGACCGGTGTGTGCCCCGGACCCAACAATGCAGCTTGGTTGGGGCCTCCGGCTTTAGATGTTATGCTTTGGTGTGAGGTTTGGGTATTGCGTCTCAAACAATCCGCCTCCCTTCATCAAGTTGATAGAAATAACGACAGATGTTACCAAGATGGTGGCTTCAGACTTATTAATGTATTACTTTTTAAGATCTTGATGAATAATTAATAAAATGGTTGTATACATCGCCCTGATGGAATGCAGAGGCCGAGGTGTTGGATATTCCATGATTACCAACACGTAGGTCATCCTCCTTTTTGAAAGGACGACGATAACTGCCACACGTGTGGTGTATCGGGTGGTTGTGCCGCACGCCTTGTGTGACATGGAGAAGAACCTGCCCGCACGACCGCGTCCGGGCGCGCGCAACCACAGCCCGCACGTCCGGTGTGTGGCAAAACCACCCACATGTCTGGGCCAGACGACCGCGCTGCCTGCACGACTCACTCGTCCCGGCCTCCTTTTGATCCCCAGTCCGAACTACCGCCATCGTCTCCCACCTCTTGATCCCCTACCTCCATCGCCGTCCTTCTCTGGTTGCCATGGCAACCAGAGTAGATCCATAGGGCCTTCCCACCGCTAACCACACCCCCTCCCCCCACTCCAACCCCGCCCTCCAAAGACGACTAGCTAAAAGTAGGTGAATCTTCGATCTCGTACTGTTTCTCATCCTTCTTCTGGCCAGAAATTAGAAATTGCAAATTTACCAATGAAGATGGCGACTGGATCCACGCTATCGGGGCAAAACACCACACGGTTTTGTGTGTATTCGCATTTTCCAAGCAGCATACACCAGATCTGCCATGTACTACGCTAGAGTTGAGCTTAGGTTCTCGGTTCGCTTGGTGCAAGTAGTTGGTAATGAAGGATGCGTAGGAATCCCTAAAAAACGGAGAGAAAGGAGAAATTTGGCATAAGGGGGGTAGGAAAAATAGTTGCCACTTGTGTCTAACATCAGTTGCCACCTATCGTTGCTGTTAACTGCCACCATGTTAACCTGTTGCTTGCCATCCTATTGTAGTGGTTGTTGCCATCGATTCGAAAGGATAGCTGGCACCAAGATTTCAGAAAAGAGAGTGGATGTGCATGTCCTACTTGCCATGATGTGTTGGTTGCCTACGCAGGAAAATGTGATAAGATTGTTGTGTTATCTTCTACGTGCAAACAGCAAAAAATGCATTTTTTTGCGGATTGTTGATGCGTTCTTGTTCATGCAGTGATTGAGAACACATTGGCAGAAACAAAACGCGGAAAGAATGAATCACGAAGATGGCACTGATCCTTGGGTTTCTCAAAGGCCGGAACGCCCCCTTGGGATGTAGCAGAGTACAGTCAACTCATTTGTGCAGGGCCGTTGCTGCCACTACTAGAGCAGTACGCAGGCATTGGTATGATGCA